TGGAAAGAGATTCTCTTCAAAAGAATATTCACATTTAAACATTTGCCCATGAAGAGGCCAGACTCCTATATAAGATGCTAACGTGCCTACCAACTTAGCTATGTATGATCTTGAAAACACCAGTTGTACTTGGTATTTATAACCTTGCACACAACAACGGACGAGAGAAAATTAAGTTTCACTGTCAATGTAAAAATACGAATACTACATGGGATCTGAGGTTCTCACAGCAGTGAGGATGTCTGTGTTGGTTTTCTGGATTGTAAAGCTATGTGGACGTGTAGGTACATAAAATGTTCCTCCAAAAAGTTGGTATCAACCTAGAAGTCTACATGGCATTTCAACCCAAAAGACCAACACTAACAATACTAATACCACTTTAATTTTCTCTTATTTGTCATAAAATTCTTTCCCAAGGGGGTTAAAACAAGAATGGCAAAACTTATCAACACACCTGAAATTCTAACATAAGTACATGAATGTGATAAAATGTTATAAATGCTCAAAGAGTTTGTATTCATACATCTGTAATTCTGTCTCAAAGTCCCACTCACTAACCCTCATTTATTTATTTATGGTTCCTTGTGAGGTCTACCACTCAGGTGATGTCCAGACAATACAAATAATCCATGGGAAATAACTAGGCACTATTTATTAACGAGTCCAAAAAGTGTTTCCTCTTTATTTACAAATTTAGATTTTGGTATCAGTATTCAACCACAATAAATATAAAGATGTAACATTCCTTTCACATATTTTAGTCACCTCATAATGCATTAATTCCTAATTTAAGTCATAAAATTTTTGTTTAAAAATAGAGCAATTACTATTCCTTCTACACAGCAACAAAAAGATAGGATTTAACATTTTATAAAATGTTAAGTGCAACATGTTTACAGTCATAGAGAGCACTTCTGGAAACTTATTTAATATCAGTCAGCTATAAAAGTACCCACTTTGTAAAAGGGCGACAAATTTAATGTATTTTATTGTGTATTAAGTGATAAACAATGTCATTTTTAACTGCACTGAAACCTCTCCACAAACACACTCAATGGTGCTCAATTACACAGTTCACTGGTAGTGAAATGTCTTACAGTTGTGAACAGTGTCAACATACTGACTGGGTCTAGAGCTCACTGGGTATCCCATACTTAAATAATATCTATATAAAGTCATATGGCTCACTCCGTACTTCTTGCCAGCTGCTATAAAGCTACATTTACCACTGCGAACATCTTCAATGGCCTGTAAAAAGTTTTGGGTTGTTCCTTTTCGCAATCTAAAGATTTGCGTTTTGCGTTGGGACAGAGAGGTGAGAACTGAACGACTGCCCGTCTGCCGGAATGATGGCGCATAGTCTGTCAATGAAAAACATGGAGCAGTAAGCACCCGGTCTAAGAACTTAGGATGAGCTTATAACAATATCTCAAAGAAGGAAAGCATTATTTTAGAAATTAATTTCTGGAGTCAAACCTATTCATGTAAAATATAACTAAATGTTTACAAAGATTGTTTATCACTATAAAATATAATATTTTCTAGCATTACATTAGGCACACGTCTAAAAATACAGCACCTTTGTGTTTCCATAATTTATACAAGGGAAATTACAAATCTTGACTTGTATAAAATGTAACTGTCAAAACTATACACACATTGGCTAATGGGATCACGTACTAATGGGCTAACGCAATCTGGGGAACAATTAAGTAAGAAAGTTTCTCAGCTCTTCTACCTGGACAGAATGGTAACAGCTTTACACAGTGCCATGAAGTGCACAGGGGCATTCAAAATATGACAGCTGCTTTGTTTATGGTAAATTTGTCAAGCTATGTGGCACAAATAATCCAGAACATATTCCATGGAACTCCTTTGTTGCTGACAATAACTTTCTTCCCATCACTTGTGCTTATGACCTTCGCATGTGATACATTAAGTGGTACAGGATGACTATATAATTTAAAATGTGTAATATGTGGGGCAATAACGAACCTTCTGCTGATGCTCTCACACTATCAGTTTCATTTCTTAAACCAGCCTCTTGAAGAATCAACTAACATCATTCAACATAAAATGCATGTTAAATAATAAGAGAAGAATAGAGTATGAGCACAGAGTAGGATAACAGACCTTTAAGGTTTTCAATATTTACTTGAACAACGATTTCTAATCAGCAATAAACACCATAGTTTTGTATTTGAAATACACCACAGAAGGTAAAAACTGAATAAATTTAGATATTACCATTGTAAACAATGTAGTTTCCATTTACTGCTGTTTGGGGGTTACTGCACCTTTATCAGCTTCACAAAAACAATATTTAATGAAATATTACTTAAGTTCTATTTTAAATCTGTCTCAATGCCTAATGTCAGTTTGAATAAAATAATTCAATTTTCAGTACAAAGGTTTAAATTCTTATAAATCTTCCTTAAATGATCCTACATATATACAGCAGTGTCAATTATCCAGTAT